CAGCAGCAGCAGCAGCAGCAACAGCAACAGTGCCGTCCCTCTTCTTTTTGCTGCTCGTATCTTCCTGCTGATGTTTCTCACTCAGAATTCGCTTGCAGAGCAGTCTGTCGTCCTGCTGCTGCTGCTGCACTTGCTGCTGCTGCTGCTGCACTTGCTGCAGCTGCTGCAGGTTCGCTTCTTGCTGCTGCGAGAGGGTGGGGTGCTGCTGCTGGGGCAGCGGGTACTGCTGCTCGAGTTGGGTCTTGAGCTGCTGCAGGTGCTGCTGCTGCTGCTGCTGCAGCTCCTGCTGCTGCTGCAGCAGCGGGTGGTGCTTGTGGGGCTCCACCAGCAGCCTGAAGCTGCTGCCTGGGGGGCAGCAAAGGCTGTCGATGAAGGGGGCAGTGCAGAGCTGTCTGTACACCCCGCGGCACAGCAGCAGCAGCTGGTGCTGCTCCCGCAGCGGCAGCCACTGCAGCAGCAGCAGCAGCAGCTTGTCATTCAAACCCAGCAACCCAGGGGCCCCAAAGGGGGGCCCCCCGTTCTTTGCTGGGGCCCCAGCAGCAGCAGGCAGCTCCTGAGCAGCCTGAGGCATGGCTGTGGCTTCTCTTTTGCTGCTGCTGCTGATGCTCTTGCTGCTGCTGCTGTTGCTGCTTCTGTTGCTGCTGCTGTTGCTGCTGCTGCTGCTTTCCTCGGTTGCCATTGTTTGCAGCTGCAGCAGAAGGGGCCCTAAGAGGGCCCACTGCAGGCTCCTCAGACAGCAGCAAGAGCCCGGGGTCCTTGCTTCTGCTGCTGCTGCTGCTGCTGCTGCTGGTTCGGCTTCCGTTGCTGCTGCTGCTGTTGCTGTTGCTGCAGTCTCGCATGCATTAAGGGGCGCCACAGCGCTTCCCGCCTGGCGCCACTGAAGTCCCGCTGTTGCAGCAGCAGCAGCAGCGGCAGCTGCTGCAAGTGCTAGGCTGCTAGATCTGCTGCTGCTGCTGCTGCCGAGCTGCTGCTTCTGCTGCTGGAGTGGGTGTCGAAGACACACATTCCGTTTGTTGCCAAATCTTCCGCGAGACTCCGGGGCAGCTGCTGCGGGTCTGTTTTATTTAAAACAAAAGTAAATAAAATTCAAATTTAAATTAAACTGATTAATTAAATCGGAGTTGGGGCTTCGGGGTGTACCTACAGTCGAGCAGCAGCCGCAGCAGCAGATGTGGGGGCCCTACTGGGGGCCCCTGCAGCCCCGCGCTGCAGTTCGTGCATTATTTGCTGCCTTTCTTTTCTTTTTGAAGATAAAAAGATAAATTTGAATTAATTAAATTGTTTTAGAATTAAAAGGAGCAGCAAAACCCCGGGGAGGCGCCAGCTGGGCCCGCAGCAGCAACTGAGACAGCAGCAGCAAGGAGTTTTGCCTTCTGTTCTTTAGCGCAGCAGAGCTGTCTGTACACCGCAGCAGCAGCAGCCACCGCAGAGCAAGCAGCAGAAGCTTCCTGCTGCTGCTGGCAAGCTTTTGCTGCTGCTTCTAGTCTCCTTTGCTCCCCTTGTTTCCCTTCTTCCAACTCACAGATCTCTGCAAGACTTGAAGCCCAAAAAAGAGCAGCAGCAGCAGCAGCAGCAGCCTGTTTCTGTGCAGCAGCAGCTGCTGCCGTTGGCGCATTTGAATTACCTTTTTCTTCTCCCGAGCTGCAGTGTCTGTACACCCGAGCTTCTGCGGCAGCTGCCTATACACCCGAATCCGGCGAGGTGTCTGTACACCGGAAGCTCCCAGCGCAATGAGCACCCCCAGCAGCAGCTGCAGCAGCAGCTGCAGCAGCAGCTGCAGCGGCAGCAGCAGCAGCAGGTTTGCTGCGGAGCAGGCGGAGGAGATGGAGGCGCTTGCTGCGCTGCTGCCGCACCCCGGGGAGTTCCAGCTGCTGCCCTGCTGCTGCTGCTGCTGCTTGCTGCAGCTGCTGCCCTTCGGCCAACGCCCAGCAGCAGATCCTCTCAACAAAGCCCAAGTCCAACTCAAGTTCTCTTTGCCTCCAGACTACCCCCAAGTCCTTCCCCACTGGCACTTCACTGGCCGTAAGCCACGCAGCTAGCTAGCTAGCTAGCTAGCTAGCTAGCTAGCTAGATAGGTGGCTAGCTAGCTAGGTGGGGGGCTAGCTAGATAGGTGGCTAGCCAGCTAGCTGGCTAGCTGCCTCCAGAATATCCACAAGCCCTTCCCCACTGGCACTTCCTAGGCCATAAGCACAACAGCTAGCTAGCTAGCTAGCTAGCTAGCTGGCCAGCTAGCTAGCTGGCTAGCTGGCATAGGGAGCGGGGGATGTGATTGAGGGACTAGCTAGCCAGCCGGCTAGCTAGCTAGCTAGCTGGCTAGCTAGCTAGCTGGGGAGTAGGGGGTTCGGTGGAGAAGGCGCTAGCTAGCTAGCTAGCTAGCTAGCCAGTCAGCTAGCTAGCTAGCCAGCTCGCTGGGTAGCTACGGGGTGGCGGGCGTGGGTGGGGGGATGGCTGGCCAGCAAGCTAGCTAGATAGCTAGCTGGCTAGCTAGCTAGCTAGCTGGCCAGTTTTCTGGCTGGGGAGTTAGCTAGCTCGCTGGAGAGTTAGAAGGGGTGGGGATGGAGGCGACTAGCTAGCTAGCTAGCTAGCTAGCTAACTAGCTAGCTAACTAGCTAGCTAGCTAGCTAGCTAGCTACGTGACTAGCTACCTAGCTAGCTAGCCACTGCTGGCTAGCTACGTGACTAGCTACCTAGCTAGCTAGCGCTAGCTAGCCACAGCTAGCTAGCCACAGCCAGCTAGCTACAGCTAGCTAGCCACAGCTAGCTAGCCACAGCCAGCTAGCCACAGCTAACGGCATGCGTTGGCCCGTTTGCTGCTGCTTTAAATGAGCTGCAGCTGAGACATCTACTTCTAAGTCCATTTTAATTAATTTTAATTAATTTAATTAATTTAATTTAATTTATTTAATTTAATTAATTTAATTCAATTTGATTTGTTTTATTTTACAGATGCGGGATTTCCAGAAGCAGAGTTGGAGGACTTGAGAGAAAAAATCCAAAAAGACCTCGAGAGGAATTTGGGGGGCCCCATGATCTTCTCTGCTTCCGAAGTTGCTGTCGTAAACCCTAAACCCTAAACCCTAAACCCTAAACCCTAGGGCCTAGGTCTGGCTGGGGCGCTCTCGGCAGTTGAGGGGCAGAGAGATGAACAGAGGTGCAAACAAATGATGTACTTAAAGGCGCAGTGCTGCTGCTGCTGCTCCAGCTCCTGCTGCTGCTGCTCCTGCTGCTGCTGCTCCTGCTGCTGCTACTGCTGCTGCTGCTCCTGCTGCTGCTGCTGCTGGTTGCTGGGTACCATTGCGTTTTCTCTTGTTGCTTGTTGCTGCTGCTGCTTCTAGGAGTGGCTGCGGGAGCGCAGCAAGCCAGTGCAGTCGATGTACGACCAGATGGTGAGCCGGCAGCAGCAGCAAACAGCAGCAGCAGCAGCAGCAGCAGCAGACGGAGAAGACTCGAACCTCTACAAAGACAGCGACAGCCAAGAAGAACATTCCCCAGGAAACGGCCCCGCCGACAGGCCCCTTTGCCCCGAAAACGTAGGCCAAGCAGCAGCAACAGCAGCGGCAGCAGCAGCAGCAGCAGCAGTAACAGCAGCAGCAGCAGCAGCAGAAGCAAGATTCGTTTGCCTGGGTCCTTCGCCCGCCCTTTTGATTGAGCATTTTCTGTTCTTTTTTGTTTTAATTATTTTAATTATTTTGTTTTAATTGTTTGCAAATAGCAGCAGCAGCAGTAGCAGCAGCAGCAAAACAAACCCCCCTCATTGGTGCTCCTGCTCTTGCTGCCTTTGTTGCTGCTGCTCCTGCTGTCTTTGCTGCTGCTGCTCCTGATGCCCTTACTGCTGCGCCTCCTGCTGCTCTTGCTGCTGCTGCTGCTGCTGCTGTTGCTGCTGCTGCTGCTGCTGCTGTGAACTCCGCAGGAGCGCTGCAGCAAAGAGGAGTTCGAGCGCTGGGCTGCTGCTTTTGCTGAAGAAATGATTTCGAAGGGCATATGGGGCAGCAGCAACAGCAGCAACGGAGTGGTCACGGGCAAGCAGCTGTTCCTAGAGAATGCTGCTGCTGCAGCAGCAGCAGCAGACGAAGAAGAAGCAGCAGCAAGTCCGTCGCTGCTGCACCTCGAAACTCCCCCCAGTCTTCCCGGTGTCTATACAGCCCACGCTTTGCCTTTTTCTCTTAAAATCTGTCTTATTCCCTGCTGCTTCTGCTGCTACTGCTGCTGCTGCTGCTGCTGATGCTTCAGGCGCTGCCTTTTGGAACGATGCTGCTGTTTTCGAACGAGACGCCAAAGGACTTTCAGACGAGGAGGACTGACGCTGCTGATGCTGCTGCAGCAGCTGCTGCTGCGGCTGCTGCTGCTGCTGCAGCTACTGCTGCGGCGGCAGTTGGTGCCGCAGCGGATGCTAGTGCTGCAGCTTTTGCTGTACCTGATATTGCAGTTAGTGCTGCAGCACGTGCTGCAGCTATTGCTGTAGCTGATGTTGCAGCAAGCGCTGCAGTAGGTGCTGCAGGCGCTACTGGAGCTGGCACTGCAGCTATTGCTGCAGCTGATGCTGCAGCAGCACCTGCTGCAGCAGCAGCTGCTGCAGCAGGAGCTGCTGCTGCAGGTGCTGCAGCAGCTGCTGCAGCTTCAGCGAATTGCCAGCAGCTAGTTTTGGTGTCTGCTGAAGGTTTAAAGCCTTTTGGAGACGTAACTGCAGTGTACAGACACCCGAGAGCTGTTGCTGCTGCTGCTGCTTGAGGTGTATGTGCAGCTCCCCCCTGCGGCGCTCAGGCGTACAGACACCTGCTGCTTCCCGGGGGGAGTTTTGCACTTTTGCTGCTTTGAGTTATTTGGCAAAAGAAATCCAAAAGAGTAGAAAGCAGACAAAAAGCAGCCGCAGACAGAGCAGCAGCAGCAGAGCAGCAGCAGAGCAGCAGCAGCAGAGACACCAGCAGCAGCAGCAAGCGAGAGACGCATGCGGCAGCACAAAACACGGCAAAGGGCCTAGAGCTGCTCCTCTACTTATTCCTCCTCTCTCCTCTGCCCGATAAGCCCTTCCCAGCACTTGCCGCTGCTGCTGTTGCTGCTGTTCTGCTGCTGCTGCTGCACCGGAAAGTGGGGGGTGGAGTTGTAGTTCGTGCATAAAAGCTTTACTGAATAGTTCCTATTACTATTCTTCACAAAATATCACTTAGCTGCTGCTGCAGCTGCAGCTAGCTAGTGTAGCTAGCTGCAGCGGGTGGTAGCTAGCTGCAGCTGGGTGTGGCTAGCTGCAGCTAGCTGTGGTAGTCCTCGCTGGCTGCCTGGCGGCAATCTGGCTATCTGGCTAGCTAGCTATCTAGCTAGCTAGCCAGCTAGCTAGCTGGCTAGCTGAGTCTGGCTAGATGAATATGGCTAGCTAGCTGGTGGCTAGCTGGTGGCTAGCTACAGCGCACTTGGCTTGTTGAGGAGCTGCCTTGCAGCAGCAGCAGCAGCAACGGCAAGCGGGGGCTGTTCAGCAGCACACGCGGCTCTCACTCAAACAACCACAGCCAGCAACAGCAGCAGCAGCAGCAGCAGCAGTAACAGCAGCAGCGCAGCAGCAGCACAGTGGCTTCAGCACATTTTATCAAATTGTCTCTGTGGGCATCTGGCCTTGAAGGGCCAGTGGTCAGCTTGAAATAAATATGCAGCGGCAGCTGTTGATGCAGCAGCAGCAGCAGCAGCAACTGCTGCTGCTGTGCTATAGGTGCTGCTGCTGATTCTGCTGCTGCTGCTGCTGCTGGCCGTTGCAGCTAGCTGCCTAAAGCACTGCCTCCCAGTTATCCTCGACTAGGTCTGGCTCCAGTTCTGCTGCTGCTGGGGCTGCATCTTCTGCGTCGCTTTCTGCTGCTTCTGCTGCTGCTGCTGCATCTGCATGCACCCGCAGCAGCACGCGGAAGAGGTAGTCCCCGAGCTGCTGCAGCCGACGACCTGTCAGGCTGCTGCTGCTGCTCTCCAGCTCCGACAGCAACGCGTTTGCTGCTTCTTCTGTCACCCCGCTGCTGCCGGCCCGAATCCGCAGCAGCTGCAGCAGCAGCTGCTCCGCCTGCAGCAGCAGCACAGAGTCAGCAGCAGCAACAGCTGGGCACACCGCCCAGCAGCACCAGCAGCAGCAGCAGCAGCTCCAGTAGCAACAGCAGCAGCAGCAGCAGAAGCAGCAGCTGCAGCAGCAACAGAAGCGCCTGCAGCAGCAGCAGCAGCAGAAGCAGCAGCAGATAGCTTGCCTGCAGCTTCACGGCAGGGTTCGTGGAGTAGAGATGGCCGAAGGCCAAGTCAGAAATCTGCGTTGTTTTTGCTGCTGCTGCTGCTGCTGCAGCAGGCGGCGACAGCAGCAACGGGGCTGACGCCCTGCACAGCCTTTTTGCTGCAATAAGTGCGTCAGAAGCAGGAACCCACTCCCCTGCGCCATGCGATGCTGCTGCTGCTGCTGCTGCTGCTGCTGCATGCACCGCGGGCAGCAGCTCCCAGCACACATCCACCAGCTGCTGCTGCCCTCTGCAGACAACAGCAGCAGCAAACAGACCTCGCCCCAGAACGCAGTTGCAACTACACAAGCACAAGAGTTGCTGCAGCAGCAGCAGCAGCTCAACGCCCATCGCAACAGCGCTGAGACATCCTGCTGTTTCAGAGCAGCAACAGCAGGGAAAGAATAAAGAAAAGTATACGTGATAAGCAGCAGCAGACTATTTAAGTGTCATTTACTTGTTTGATTATTTAAATAAAAATAAACTTTTTTGACTCACTTGGAGTGCCGCACGAGGTGTCTGTACACCTGAAGCGCCGCTGACTGAACGGGCGGCGCCCGGTCCTCCAGCAGCTGCTGCAGCAGCTGCTGCAGCTGCTGCGGCTGCTGCAGCAGCGGAAGCTGCAGCAGCTGCTCCTGGCTGCCCGTCCGCAGCAAATTTGCCAGCACCAAGCATGCGCTCTGCAGGCAGCAGCAGCAGCAGCAT